TATACAACACGAATGTCACTAGCTGTTAAGCATAAACTTCAGTTCTTTCGGCAACCTACCCGAATGCCACTAGCCAGGAAGCAGAAAGTATAGGTTTATTGACCTACTATCTCATGTTGGGGTTAAATTATGCGCTTTGCATTGTATTTGTCTCATTAACACAAGCAAGCATGGTTTAGAATAGCAATGCCACTTAACTATCAAGTGGAAATTTCAGTTTGTTAAGCCTACTAATAGCTGTAACTGGGGAATCTATTTCATTAACTATGCAGTATCATGACATGTTCTTCTTGTTCTCAGCGGCACACTGAATCTGCCGGAAACAGAGTGCAGAATGCGCCCTTTGCTGATCACAAGGCAAGGAACGATCCTTCTTTTGAGGTAACACATTTCTCGCACGTTACAGGTCACATATTTTATACCGCATAGCTCCATAAATGTCACAGGAGTGCCACTTCAACTATGATGCATATCTTGTTCTGCTCCCAAATAGTAACATGCTATCCTCTTTTTCAGCAGCGCTTTTCAGCTGGAGCAAACCCTGCACCTGTGCCTTCTACTAACCCAGCTCCACAGGCTGACAATGGAAACATGTCGGTAGATGCATACCGTAAAAAGCATGAGATTACTATTATTGTATGTGTTCAATTTCTTTTATGCCCCCAATCCCTCGTTGTTGTTATGCGCGATGTACTTAGTTGTTCCATACCTTTTAGTGCCCGGGACGTGAAGCTCCACCGCCATTCATGTCGTTTCAGTCCACAGGCTTCCCTTCGGAGATTCTAAGGGAGGTACGTGCACATAATGCATACAAGTAGTAATGCACTGCCTTATACCCTATTTGAAGTCAACGATTTTAATTAGAGTTCAACATGTTCCGTTGTCTTCTCCAGCCTGCTATGGTTTGAAAAATATGCTCTTTGTTTTGTTGTTTCTTCTTTAGCTACAATACGCCTGAATTGGTTTCTGTATAGCTAAAATGTTGTGTCATAGGGAACCTTTTCCTCTTTGTCCTATTGTATGTTGGGCTTGAATATTTAGGTTGTATCAGCTATACTATTCAGTTGTTCACATATTACTCATGTCTACAGGTGCAGCAAGCAGGATTCAAAGCACCAAGTCCTATCCAAGCTCAATCGTGGCCGATTGCTCTAAAAGGTAGTGATATTGTAGCTGTGGCGAAGACAGGTTCTGGAAAAACCCTGGGTTATCTACTTCCAGGGTTTATACTTGTTAAGAACCTACGGCACAATTCAAGGGATGGGCCAACTGTGTTAGTTCTGTCTCCAACCAGGGAATTGGCAACACAGATTCAAGATGAAGCAATCAAGTTTGGTAGATCATCGAGAATTTCATCTACTGTATGTTCCTTCTATCTTTATGTGTGCACTACACTGCTCTACTCTTAGACCACTTAATTCACTTGTGTATCCACATTGCTAGATGCTAATGTTACTCGTACCTAAGAAATGTAATTTCTGTTTTATGTAACTTACATATTGATACAGCCGTAACAGAATACTGTCTTAATCATATTTTTTCTTTTGCAGTGTCTATATGGCGGTGCTCCAAAAGGCCCTCAGCTAAGAGATTTAGAGCGTGGTGCTGACATTGTTGTCGCAACTCCTGGTAGACTGAATGATATACTAGAAATGGGAAAAGTTAGTCTCCGTCAGGTAGCTTATCTCGTTCTTGATGAAGCTGACCGCATGCTTGATATGGGGTTTGAGCCACAAATAAGAAAAATTGTGAAACAAGTGCAACCGAAACGGCAAACTCTTATGTTCACTGCCACTTGGCCAAGAGAGGTGAGGAAAATAGCTTCAGATTTGCTCACTAACCCTGTCCAGGTTAACATTGGGAACTCTGATGAGCTGGTTGCAAATAAGTCAATCACCCAGGTAATAAAAAATGCTATTTTTTCTGCAGGGTAAAAATGCTATTTTCTAGGCTGAGGTATATTTTGCTACGTTGTTTTAGACTTGTTTGTTACACCTTGCAGCTTGTGGAAGTTACCACATCTTTCGAGAAAGGGAGGCGCCTTGATCAGATCTTGAGACAACAGGAGCCTGGATCGAAGGTGATCATATTTTGCTCCACGAAGAGGATGTGTGATCAGCTGTCTCGGAACCTATCACGGCAGTATGGTGCTTCTGCTATTCATGGTGATAAATCACAGGCTGAGAGGGACTCTGTGTTGAGTGAATTTAGGACCGGCAGGTGCCCAATTCTTGTAGCCACTGATGTGGCTGCTCGAGGCTTAGACGTGAAGGACATCAGGTTTGAACTTTAACTTTGCAACTTCTTTGACTTTCTAGTTTGACATGGATATAGCTCATAATGGTGATGGTTGAATACACATTTACTATCCTGTAGTTTTCTTAAATGTTGTGCACTGACAATCCTTCCCAAATCTTTTGCCGCAGGGTTGTTGTTAACTATGATTTCCCAACAGGTGTTGAGGACTATGTCCATAGAATTGGGAGGACAGGCCGGGCTGGTGCGACTGGAATTGCATACACATTCTTCTGTGACCAGGATTCTAAGTATGCTTCAGATCTTGTGAAGATTTTGGAGCGTGCGAACCAAAATGTTTCGCCAGAGTTACGAGCTATGGTCGGCCGTGGAGGGTATGGTGGCAGGGGGCCACGGCGGTGGGCATCTTCTAATGATTCCTATGGTGGCCAGGGAGCCTATGGCAGCCAGACTAGGGATGGTCCAAGCTTTCAGTCGAGGTGCATATCAGTTTCTATTTGATTTGAATACTTCATTCAGGACTTGTGCCAGCCTGATGAATCATCGTTTGCAGCTTCAATAACAGCAGCAGTGGCAATCAATATGGTGGCGCTCCAAGCTTCCATACCAGGTATGGCACCAATTCCTATTCTCTAATTCCTTTTCAGTCTCATCCATACCTGATGAACTTTCACTTGCATCATTCATAACAGCAGTAGCAACAATCAGACCAGTAGCGCTGCAAGTTTACCTGCCAGGTTAGTATAACTTCCTTGTTTCCAGCTTATATACCACTGCTGATAATTAATCAATTGTCATCTGGCATAACAGTGGCGGCTCTGGTGAAGGTCTCAGCTTTCATGATAGGTACTGTATCCATAATAGTATATGCTTGTACCTTATAAGTCATAACATCATGTCACTCCACAGAGAGGCACATGGTCACATACTTTGCTGTTCACCTGTGCCCATGCTATGCAGTGTCCTTCACATTTATGAAACAAACAGAAACATCTGATTGCATTGTTAGCTACCAATATTTGCTCTTAGATCATATGTGGTGATTGGATGGATTGCCTAGTTGAATTATCTGATGTATGCATTTATACCTCTTTAATATGCATCTCACTCGATAGAGGCACATGTCACCAACTTTGGAGTTCACCTACGCCCACACATACCGTGTCCTTGAAATTAATGAAATAAAGAAGAAACAGTCTGATTGCATTGGTGAAACTTTTAGCGTAGCTGAATCAAACTGTATTTTATGGTTGACAAATTGAGTTAACTGCCACTTTACTTTAAGCGAAAACATGTTGTCTGTTTTGTTCCATCCTGTTGACAACTTTATTTCATCTATATCAAATAGTAGGGTTTTTCATCGGGGGTGTGATGTATCTACAAAGGCTATATATAATTTAATGATCCGCTTTGTTCGATTGGCAGGTTCTATAGCGGCTCTAACCGTGGTGGTGACCGTGCTAGGAGCAGGAGCCCTCCCAAGGCCGTGGGGGTCTCCAACTGGTAAAATGCATCACGATGGTGACGAAACAACGGAGTAGATGGAGTTGGTTCCCTAACCAAATCGTAGTATCAGTCAATGTTGGTTTAAGCAAAGCGTGTCCTGGAACTTTGCTGACATAGGTTAAGCGTGTCGGATATTTTGCTATGTTGATGTGGTGGTGTCTCGGAGGCGCTTTATACGGTGTCCGTATGCTGGCGTTAGTACTCTATGAAACCTGGAACCTCGGACCTCTTTATGCCTGGTAGTCTTGTTATAATCTTTCGGAAACCGGACCGGTTGAGCCATGAATTTTGGACGGAACCATGTAAGTTATGTTGGCTGTTGTAAATGCTCTCGGCATGGCTTGATGTTGAACTGAAATGCCCCACGCGAACTGCTGAACTGTTGTGCACATCTGTGCCTTGCTTGTGCTCTATAGCAAGTTTTCTCACAGCACAAGGGGAATGTTTGGTTGGTGCCCAGATTTACCCTACCAAAATTTTGGCAGCCCTTCATTTGGTTGGTTACCAAATTTTTGGTTATCTGTGGCATCTTGCAAACTCAACTCAGATGTTGCCACTTTTTGGCGACCTCCAGCCAATTTTTTGGCTAGCCGATTGTTGGCAAAAGTTCGGCTTTCATTTGGCTGGTTACCAAAATTTTGGTTGCCTATGTGATCTTGCATATTCCGAAGATTTTGGCCAACAGAGGGTCAAGCAATGTCTTGCAAAATTTGCTAGGGGCACAAGCCAAACATGCCCGCTTTTCTCAAAATTTGTTATGTGGTATTCTCAGGGCGTCTGAGCATACTGTACTACTACCTCCGTCTGGAAATACTTGTCATCAAAATGGACAAAAAAAGATGTATCTAAAACTAAAATACATCTAGATACATCCCTTTTTATTCATCAAAATGGACAAAAAAAAGATGTATCTAGAACTAAAATACATCTAGATACATCCCTTTTTATTTATTTTGATGACAAGTATCTAGATACATCCCTTTTTATTCATTTTGATGACAAGTATTTCTGGACGGAGGGAGTATTTGTCAGGAGATTTGACATTATTCAGGGAGGATGTTACAAGTCTTCAAGACCAGCAGTTTGGTCCTGTTACTACTGAAAGAAGCTGCTGTGGCCTGTAGTACAAGTGTACTACTGGCCGTGGCAAGTTCTGTACAACCTATCTCAATACATTTTCTCTCTGAATAACTATATCGATCTAATCTTGTACCACAAAAACCTGTATCAGAATGTCTTCATGAGCTCTTTGGCTTTGTTTTCTTGAGCCTGGAGTACAGGTAAACTCCCGCAAGTGCCGCACCAGTCCCTGCAGTTGCAAGGAGAAACAAGTCAGAAGAGAATTGCAGTAGAAAAGACACTGCTCGAGTAAAAAAGAGATTGCAGTGTGGCCAATTTGTTTTTACCCAGTGCGTTGACAGGCGAGATGGGCGTCCGGAAGAAGAGGACGGAGGAGACGATGACCACCACACGCTTGACGCAGTTGGCCACGGAGTGGGTCACGGGCGACACCCTCGCCAGGATCATGTACGACAGCTGCCATTACCATTGCCAGGACCATCGTCAGTAACAGTGTTACAGATCATGCATTCTGTTTGTTTGGAGCTGACTGAAGCCAGAACCGTGTGACGGTTTGTCATGTGTCTCTCTCTCACCTTCTGGTAGCCATGGAAGCAGAGGCCGGCCAGGGCCGCCCTCACGCACAGCTCCTGCAGGTTCAGGCCCTACAAGCCAGAGTTCACAATAGTTTATTAGTCTACTAGGAATTATGATGATGCAACAGTTCAACTTGTCTGGATTTTGCAGACTTCGAGGTTGACTCACGGTGCTCTGGAGGAACGCTGGGGAGAAGCTGACCCCTTCTGCAAAGATCATCAGAGGCAAGGATAGGAGGAAGGACAGCACGGTGATCACCGAGAAGAGGTTTATGTCGTCCATGAACTCCTCCTGCTGCAGCATTACATGAACAAATTCATCAGTGTTTGGGATTTGGAAAGAATCGTAAGATAGTACAGTGCTGAATTGTTACTGGTGAACTGAAGAAGGAGAAGAAGGAATCACCTCTTCGCCGCCGAGGAGGCGCTTGCTGAGCACATTCCTGGTCTGGTTGAGCAGATTCGACGCCATGGCGCTCCAGAATCCGACCCTGCCTCGACGGAATCATTTATGTACCGTGAGAAAGCGACGGGATTCTTCCCGGCCCCAATTATTCGGGGTCGACGGCAAAAGGGAATATAATCATCGGGCCATGATTTAGGGACAATGTTCTCCGGTGGTCAGCGGAGCAGACGGGACGAACCAGTTGAAGGAGACCTCGGTCAGCGATGCCAGGGCGACGCCGCCGACGATCGGCACCAGCGAGCCCAGCACCAGCGGCGACGGCACCTCACCGAGGAAGAAGGCGGAGAGCAGCACGGTGAAGAAGGGCTCGGACGCCTTGACGGTGTGCGTGAAGGAGACGGCTACCTTGCCCAGGCTCATGTTGGTGAACACCGTGCCCAGCATGTGCCCGGCGGCCAGCGGCGCGATCTTGGCCAGCTGAACGGGAGCAGAGGCTTCAGTTCGCGGGGAGCGAATTCAGAGAAAAGCAGAGGAAGAAATTGTTGTTCAAATGTCTGACGGACCTGTGCGGCGGAGAGCTTGGGCACGGGGTGGAGCTTTGTGGCCCACATGAAGAAGATGACGAGCGAGCCGAAGGCGAGCTGGAAGGCGGTGATGGTGTAGGGGAGCGGCAATGGCAGCACCTGGAGAACCTGCGGTTGTGGCAAAGCGGGTTTGTTGAGTGGTCGGTCACGCACGGACGGACGGCGAGGAACAGGGGAGGGGATGCCAATGGCGCGGCGCGTGCGTAGCGTACCTGCTTGTTGTAGATGTTGAAGTAGATGTTGAGGAGGTACCAGGCGACGATCATGGCGCCGAGCTGCACCGTGCCGGCAATGCCGCCGCCCGCGGCCACCTCGTCCGACGCCGGTGCCAGTTCCGCCGCAGCAGCCGCCGCTTTTGCCGTCCCCGCAGGCCGTCTCCGCGAGAGCAGCGACAGGGACATGGAGTGGAGGGGAACCTGCCGCTGCCCGCGAATCCGGAGAGGCACGACGGCGTCGCGGCGGGCGGTGGCCGAGCAGGAGGCGATGGCATGGCGCGAGGTGGAGGAGCACGCCCAGGCAGCCGCGGAGCGGGAGGAGGCGAGGGAGGCCGCGGCGCGCTGCATCTCGCCGTGTCCTCGTGGTTGGTTCGCTGGCGCTTGGAGCTGCCCGAGCCGCCTCCCTTATAGGGTCCCCCGAGATAAGTACACTTGTATAACGACGTTACAGGGAGGGGAGGGTGGCGCCGGGTGAATCTCGCCGCGATCCCGTACAGATTCGTCCCCCCCTGGTCATACTCCTACTAGTACTACCTTGTTTTTTAAACGTTTGCAGAAACTGCAGTGGGCGGTACGTGCACTGGAATGGAATATGTAATGTGTGGCCAATCCCAATCCATCCGCCTCAAAAATAAAGGACGGTTTGGTATGTGGAGAGCGCAACAACAGGGAGAGAAAGAACAGCCGTCAACTACGAGCGTCACGAGTGGCGTGGAAACCCCGTGCCAAAAGGAAGGAAGGCGCGAGGAAGACGATGGCGAGGCAGGAATTGCCGCTCTGACGGCCGGCCGGCGGCTTCGCCACGGGAGACTGATGAAACTCGATGCGTGGTTTTATTTTCTGACGAAACTCGTGCCATCATCTCTGTTGCTGCTGCCATGCCAATAGGACCCGCCTGAGGATGCATATGGGCATTTTAGCGACGCCGACGGGATCCGCTGCCGTGCAGCCAAGCCGTGTGATAATAAGAATAAGAATAACGACGGTGGTGGCTGACAAAACAAAAGCGAAAGCAAACGGGGACGGAGACCGGATCATGATCGGGAAACGAGCAAAGGAGGTTCGTGGGGAGTGACGTCACGTGTGCTCGGTCGGATGAGTAGTCCACGGCGCCAACTCAACTGACCGATTGGATGCAGGCGGCGATCCATCGGTACAGACGTACAGTCCGTCCGTCCGTACGTACGTACGTACATGGCTACTGGTGTGCCACCGGCAGGAGAACATGGCCCATGCCCGCCCCCTCATCGAAAAGGAACAAACCGTCCAGGCCCAAGGAGGCTCTTCCAAACTTTGACTTCAGAAAAGCTTTCCATTCTGTTAGTTGGGTGAAAAATCCTTTTTTTTTAGGGTATGCAAATTGCGTACCTTAACTTTATAGAAGAAGAAAAATAAGAAATACAACAACGTCAACCATTCGCTGCGGAGAACGAAGGTGACCAACTGCACACCCGGTTCGTACAAGGACAACCAAACACAACAACACGGCTACGACACAAGAAGCCTACCCAACACCGAGCCCCTTGCCGCGTCTCGGCCGACACTGAAGACCTTCGAAGAACAGCAACTCCAACTTCCTTGGAGTAGCCAAGGACGACCGTACATGGCACCAAAGGAGAAAGATCCGGGTAGCGGTGAACGCCGGAGGAGTGCATCATGAGACCTCGAGTCTCCCAGCACAATGCTCCCAACAGAGTAACAACCTCAAAGACGTTGCCATCATGCCGATCCTACGAATCAAGGCTTTCGCCCCGGAGGCAGCTGCAGATACGAGGTCGCGAGAAAGATGGCGTTGCACTCGGCGAAGCCTCCAGGAAGGTGAATGACACCCGCAGGTGCCATCAACGCCGGTCCGGCCACAACCGAACATGATTTTCATCCGTAGCTCTGCACATCTCCAAGTCTCCAAGATCCCGACCAGTCCCGATCAGATGCCTCGCACCGCCGTCACCGCAACAACTTGCCATAGAAGCGCCCCTCACTGCCGAGGGAACACGCCTAAGGCCATCACCTTCAACATCGACTAGGAGCCGCAACAACCACCGAGCGGTGCAAAGCCAGTTCCGCCACGGTCGCCTTCACCCATGCCAAGGGACTGCCACCAGAATGAATCCGACCCCCACCTCCGACCACCCTCCGACACCCACACCGCCGAGGCATCGCCGCACGCCTCACACGGCAGCAACCGAACGCCCGCTGCCCGCCAAGACCCTTCCTGGCAAGGCCTCGCAGCGCCGCCGCCGCCATGGCTGCCCTCGCACCGCCGCCACCGCCAGTGCCGGTACACCACCTACATCCTCCATCCTTCGATTAGGGTTTTTTCTCAGCGTTGGTGCAACTGGATCAGTGAACTGCTGGGCACCAACGAAACTGTTGTCCTGCTAAATGGGTGCCCTGGTTCATGGATAAATTGCAGACATGGGCTCAGGCAAGGGGCCCCATCTCCCCCTATCTATCGTTGCAGATTTCATTTTTTGTAGAAAACTGTTGTGCTTAGAAACTAAAATTACTGTCCTTGCCCATCCTCATGGTAACAACTAACATTCGCAATTGCCATCCCACTCAACAAACGTTCCCTGATTATCATTACCCTTTCTTTTGCAAAAATGACTCAAATCTATTATAAAAGCTCAACAAAAATACACAGCACCTCAAACCTAACAAAAAATTACATTGAGGTCCTTGAACCACTGCCAAAACTGAGTCAACGACGTTCTGTTGTCCTCGCTCCCATACCCGTGCTGACCATGTCAATGCGAGCCAGGAAGCTTTCATGCATGTGCCCCTACAAATCAATGCCCCAAAGTCCCAGTTGTTGTTGCTGTTGAACGCTTGAATCGATCTAAAAATCCTAACACCAAATTTTGCCGTCGCATATGCACGAGGAGAAACTAACCTCAGCGCCCCGAGGAGCTCGTAGAGATGAGGGGTGAATAGTGTCGTGTTGCTTTTAGCTGCAAGTTAAGCCGAAAATACATTAAAAAAGCATTCTAATGGTTGGCCTGAACAGCTGCTGCAATACGACGTATATTCATCAAAAAACAAAGTTGACATCTGAATAACACATTCCCCATGTCTCCAAAATAAAGTAAAATAAAACCTATAGGATGCAAATGGGTATTCAAGAAGAAGTTTAGGCCTGATGGTACTATTGGGAAGTACAATGCATGACTCATGGCCAAGGGCTATACCCCAAAAGGAAGGTGAAGATTTCCTTCATACTTACTCGCTTGTGACTCGACTGACCACTATTCGAGTACTATTTTCATTAGCTGCCTCACATGATCTTCTCGTTCATCAAATGGATGTCAAGAATGCTTTCCTAAATGGAGAGTTGGACGAGAAAATTTACATGGAACAACCAATGGGTTTGTAGTGGACGGTCAAGAGGGAAGGTGTGCAAGTTCCTGAAGTCTTTGTATGGACTTAAGCAATCACCTAAGCAGCGGCATGAGAAGTTTGAAATTTTTTTAACAGCTGCAGGCTTTGTTGTGAACGAAGCTGACAAATGTGTGTACTATCGCCATGGTGGGGGCGAGGGAGTTATCCTTTGCTTGTATGTTGATGACATATTGATTTTTGGAACAAATCTAAATGTTATTAAGGAGGTAAAGGATTTCCCATCTTGTTGCTTTGAGATGAAGGACTTAGAGTAGAGGATGTTATTCTAAACATCAAGCTATTGAGAGATGATGATGGTGGCATTACATGCTTCAATCTCACTATGAGAAAAAGATCTAGAGTCGCTTTGGCTATAGTGACTGCAAGCCCCCTCCAACACCATATGATGCAAAAGTGTTGCTTCAAAAGAACCGAAGAATGGTTAGAGATCAATTGAAATATTCTCAGATTATTGGCTCGCTTATGTATTTAGGCAGTGCTACAAGACCTGACATCTCTTTTGCTATTAGGAAACTGAGCCGATTTGTTTCAAAACTGGGAGATGTTCATTGGAAAGCTCTAGAGAGAGTTGTGCGTTATTTGAAAGGTACTACGAATAACGGAATTCACTAAAATGGGTACCCAAAGGTGCTTGAAGGATATAGTGATTCAAACTGGATCTCAGATGCTGATGAGATAAAGGCCACGAGCGGATATGTCTTCACTCATGGAGGTGGTGTTGTTTCTTGAAAGTCTTGCAAGCAGACCATCTTAACGAGGTCAACGAAGCAGAACTCACAACACTAGATACAACTATGGCTGAAGCAGATTGGCTTCGTTGGCTCTTGAATGACTTGCCAGTTGTTGAGAAACATGTACTAGGTATCCTTATGAACCGCTACAATCAAACTGTGATCACGAAAATGAGCAGCTCAAATGATAACATGAAGTCATCAAGACATGTACAAAGAATGTTAAAGTCTGCCAGAAAAATAAGAAACTTTGGAGTTACTTGTAAGTGCATCTAGTGCCCCTTAGTGATTTTCGTGTATTGCAGACTTATAGGTTAAGGGACTAATGACTTTGTGAGTGTACACAAGTCTATAAGTCTATGAGGATTTTGATATTTACGATGAAATTTGACCCCTAAGAATGAATGTCTTCACCTGAAGACTTTGGTTTTCTTGAAGACTTTGAAAGTGAGGAAATTGGTGTGACCATGAAGACTTGATATTCATGCGAGGAATATGAAGTGTGAAGACTTTTCTTTTCGTAGTTTCATTTTCTCTTTCTTGAGTCATAGGAAACACCATACTGTTAAAGGGGGTCGAGGTAAAACTAAGGAAAAGTTTCCAAGTGATGCTCATCTCAAAATCCTACACCTACCCAATCCTTTCGAGAGAAGCCATTGGAAATCTCATACAGTTCAGTCAATTTCTTTAGTGACAAAGACGAAGATCTTCTGGTCTCTGAGGAATTTGTTATGACTGAGGAGTTAGGAATTCACCAGTGTGGATTGCCTACAAGCAAGGAACATGATAGCCCCGAGGAATTTGAGAGCTCAAATTTCCGACCATTGCTGAGCTATGCGCCAGCTGTCCCAGAATATCTACCCACCTAACGGTCATATCATTGAAGGGCATTTATGTCTTATCATGTCAGGCTCCTCCCTAGGCTATAAATAGCCGCCCCTACAACCACTAGCTGGCTGGCTGCTCCAAGAGAAACTGACACTTGTCATTGAGAGCATCCCATCCTCCGAGGACTTTGAGCAAAAATCATGAGTGAGGAAAACCTAAACACCTACAAACCCAAAGTGATTGAGCATCACTGAAGAGATTGTTCCTGTGTGGAACCGACGCTTGTTACCTTTGAGGACTATGCATCCTCCAGACGGTTAGGCGTCATGGTCTAGAGCATCCAAGAGGAAATTGTGGATCACCGAGCGACCGAGTCTGTGAAGGTTT